CACCTAGATAGTCTCCAGAAATCAATTTAAAGGGTAAAAAAAATGCTGATGTAATATTTTCCCTATAACTATTACAAAAACACAAAATAAGTATAAATAAGTATTTATATTTGTGTACAAGCTGTTTAGATTGTCAAAAAGCCTGTGTTTTTAGGGTTATTAACAAAGTTCGTGTACTCAGACCAGCAATATTTGGGGTCACAAGTTTTTGCCATGGATATTTTGTGAGTCAGAAGATAAAAAGTTTGGGAACCACTGTTCTACAGGACTAAAATGACCTATTAGAACATGACCAGATTATTGCAAATTAGAGGCAACAAAAACTATCAGCGTGTATTTCATAATAACAGTGCTACACTCTTAGCCTGGCCCTTGCCTTCCTACACAGCTCCGCTCAATTCTAGTTTCCCTTCACTGCTCCCTCTGGGATTTCTCCCACAGACAAGGATTTCTTCAGGAGAATTTTCGTCCGGGCCAATCGGAGAACAGAAGGCGGAGTTTTGAATGATGTCGATTTTCTGCAGTGTCTGTTAGTTAGTTTAGCATACGGCAGTGGAGGAAGTGAATGAAGCCAGTCTGTGTTGATAAGGCTTCCAAATTAAATTAAATTTGTCTGACAAAGCCTGCAGCTCTCATTTACGGTCATCTCATTCGGCTCGGTACTCCTCTCTTCTCCTCTCAGTAGGGTTGTTTACAGCACACGCAATTTCCGGTTAGCTTCTTAGCTTAGCCTCCTTCACAGTGGAGCTAGCATACACATACGTCGCGGCCAACCGATCCAGTCGTCCAAATGGTCCAAGAAGAATCGCTTCTCTATAGCCGAGAGTCCAGACCTCGTACGAAGCAAAGCGAAGGACAAGGATCTGGTTTTAACCAAGCTACTACACTCTTAGCACTCACTAAATATGTTTTTTCTGTCATTTTTYCCCCCTGTGCTCTCTGGTGCCCCAGGAACCATCGATCTGCTGCACCCTCAYCAAGTTCTTTACACCTAATTTGGAACAACTTTGTTGGACGGTGTCAGGAAGCAGCTACGTATGTGCAAGAAAATCACGCTGTTCTTGATAGTTTTCATGAACTCATTGCGAACACTGTTGTGGTCGAGGCATGAGGCCAGACTTGCTTTGAATTCTCATCAAGAAAGTTCCACATCGTGGATAGGGCTGCCACAAACGATTATTTTTATAATCGATTAATCACYGATTATTTTTTTCGATTAGTCGACTAATCRGATCATACGTTAATTGAATATAAAACATAGAGCTTATCGTGCCAGAATGCAGCTGCTATTATATAACCATCGTTAG